TTAAGAACTGGCGCCGCAGCTAATCCTCCGCCTGTGGTGCCGGTACACCGGATTCTAGTCCCGGTTGGGATACCAGATTCTGTCCCGGTTGCCCCTCTTCCAGGCCAGCTCTCTGCTGTGGCCAGGGAGTGCAGTGGAGGATGGCCCAAGTGCTTGGGCCCTGCACCCACATGGGAGACCAGGAGAAGCACCTGGCTCCTGCCTCCGGATCAGCGCGGTGTGCCGGCCGCAGCGCACCAGCCGCGGCGGCCATTGGAGGGTGAACCAACGGCAAAAGGAAGACCTTTCTCTCTCTCTCTCACTGTCCACTCTGCCTGTTAAAAAAAAAAAAAAAAAAAAAAACACTAGTTGAAGAGAGCCTTCAACAAGTTTATACAATGTAACAGATACAGAAACACCCTGTATTTAAACTCACATGAAAGAATTGTAAGAAATACACTCTGACTGAACTTTATTTAGAATTATGACTTTGGGGCTGGCATTGTGGCATAGTGGGAAAAGCCACTGCCTATAATGCCAGTATCCAGTATGGGCACCAATTTCATGTCCCAACTGCTCCACTTCTAATCCAGCTCCCTGATAATGCACAAAGGAAAGCTAAAGACGATGGCCCAAGTACTTGGGCCCTGCACCCACCTGGGGAGACCTGGATGGAGTTGCAGGCTCCTAGCTTCTGCCTGGCCCAGCCTAACCATTGCAGACATTTGGAGAGTGTGAACTAGCAGATGGAAGCACATGTGTTTCTCTGTCTCTCTTTCTCCCCCAACCCCCTTTTCTTCTCTTTCTCCTTCCCTCCCCCTTCTCTCTTTAGTTGTGCCTTTGAAATAAATCTTTTTAAAATAACAATGACTTCTTGAAAGACTGAGAAACCTAGTAAGATTGTTTAAGTTTTTTTGTTGTTGAAATAATTTTACTTTATCCAGAAACAATCCCTAAATTTCAGTTAAATGTTTTTAGTTTATGTTTAATCTGGATATGTTGTTGACCCAGTGATGGAGAGATTACTCTTCAGATATCGTTAAGACTAAACTTTGTTTAGTAATACAGGTTGCAAAGGGCAGAATATTTATGCCAATATTTAATAGTGTTTTTAAAGACATTGTAGTAATACTGGGAAAATAAACAGTATTGTCCCTGCTTTCAAGGAATGTGGAAAGGAATCTTGTGTCTATTTACTGTGTCTGAATTGCACATGAACAACATGCTTCTTACTCTGACTTTCAACCCATTTTCTCTAGATAATAACCTCATAGTCTATTTTACCAGAGAATATAGAAGCCAAAAGCCTGGAATGACCCAAGGTTGCTGGTTTCAAACCTCTATATATACATCAGTTGCTCCCTCTCAAGTACCACAGCCTGTGCTTCTGGATCCCATACTTGGACTCTCACACAATTCACAATTGACAGTTCTTCTCTTTGCTGATGTGTTTACAGTATCATTAATTTCGTCTTATCATGGTGGCTCTGTCACAATTTAGATGTTATTTTCACCTTCTAAACTAAATCCTTATTCTTCCTTTCCTTCTTTCATTGAAAGTTTTACATTCTTATTCTAGGTCAGTAAATGTCAAGATTTCATGTATTTGATCAGTCGTTTTCTCATGGTCTCATGTTCACTACTATGATTTTTATTTACCATCTATACAACATTTTTATTTCTAACTTAAGCACCAGATCAATAGCCTTTGTTATTATATTTCTCTACTTGGATGCTTAAATAAAATAATAATTAGATGGCCGGCGCCGCGGCTCACTAGGCTAATCCTCCGCCTAGCGGCGCCGGCACACCGGGTTCTAGTCCCGGTCGGGGCGCCGGATTCTGTCCCGGTTGCCCCTCTTCCAGGCCAGCCCTCTGCTGTGGCCAGGGAGTGCAGTGGAGGATGGCCCAGGTGCTTGGGCCCTGCACCCCATGGGAGACCAGGAAAAGCACCTGGCTCCTGGCTCCTGCCATCGGATCAGCGCGGTGCGCCGGCCGCAGCGCGCCAGCCGTGGCGGCCATTGGAGGGTGAACCAACGGCAAAGGAAGACCTTTCTCTCTGTCTCTCTCTCTCACTGTCCACTCTGCCTGTCAAAAAAAAAAATAAAATAAAATAAAAAAAAATAATAATAATAATTAGATGACAAATTGAGAACTAAGTGTTTCACATTTATCTCATTTCACCCTTAAACTTTCCCCTCATTTTTTTTACACTAAAACAGTTATCGACATTGAGTAAGCATCAGAATCATTTAGAGGGCCTATTAAAATATAGATCGCTGAGCCCTCCATCCAAAGGATCTGATTAGGTAAGCCTAGGCTAAGGCCTGAGAAATTGTGTTGCAGGCAGTTTCCCTGATAATGCTGCAATAGGGACTGTACCTGAAGATTTGCATTAAAGAAACGAACTATTCGGAAGCACAGCTGGAAAGTGGCAGAACTAGTATTTGATCCCAGGCAGTCCACTGCCCACATACCAAACCCATTCTATTGTCTGTCTCTTCAGTGTCAGACTCCGTATGTCCTTAACAAAGCTTCTTACTCTTTCTATATCTGGTCCTCCTCCAGGTTTCCTTTAGCTGCTATTACTGTAGGCCAGGAGCTTTCTTCATTACCTCAGAACCTTTCTCCCATGATTTACTAGTTCTGCCCCATAAGCTTTCTCATTCATCTACTTTTCTCCCTTTGCCGCCTTCATAAACCAAGCCAAAGCTACCCTAAGCCTGTACCTGGACTGCTAAAATCACTTCCTGCCTGGTGTGCATACTTCTCTTCATACCCTCATTAAAACAGCAAGGATTAGTTTGTGTGTGTGTGTGTGTGTGTTTGTTTTAGGCAAATGAGATCATTCCCTGTTTAAAATTCTTCTATCCCTCTATGACAAAGGACAAAATTCTTGCCATGGCCTACAAGGCTCTGTATGACCCACTGTGCATTACTTAACCATCATTTTATACTATTCCTTTTCAATCATTGTGTAATCAAGCAGTCTTCCCAGCCTCTCAGTATTTCAGTACCACATTTGTCCAATGATTTTGCATTTTATAACTATAATAGTCATTGCTCTGCAGAATCCCATTGTATTAATTTCTAATTATTTTTCCGTTGTAAATATTTTGAAGTAAATATCTGCATATATACAGGGGTTTTTTTTTGTTTGGTTTATATGTGTATGTGTATGTAGAGAAGTTTTGTTTCATTTTGTTTTATTTCATCATGGCTGTTGGAGCTAGAGCGGTCAACCATGGTGATACTAAAGATATCAAATGTGAAGTAGAGGGCAGATTGTTCATAAATGGGATTTGGGGACTGTTTTAAGAAATTCATGCCATTTGAGAAGAGGAGGTCTTGAGACAGTAGGATAATTCTAGAGCCATAAGCAGGCACCTAAATAAACCAGACTTTCTAAAATGAAAAATTTGAAGCTTTTTCTCATTTGTGATGAGTAAGTGAAAATTTTAAACCAAAGATTTGTGTTTTAAGACTGTCTCTCTAGCAACAATGTAGGAAGTGAACAGAGGTGTTACAACACTATTTTAGAAACAAGACCAGGAGCCATTTCACCAATTCACTAATCCAAGAGAGTTGATGAGTGCCTGAATTATGGCAGTGGAATGGAACAGGTTTATTGAACATTTTCAAATTAAAGCAAAAAGTACTCGTGCTACCTTTCCACATTTTTTCCATATTCAAGATTAGCTCTTAAGAATTTTGTCTTGCAGGGCCAGTGTTGTGCAGCAGGTTAAGTTGCCACCAACTGTTCTGGCATCCCATAGGAGTTTCTCCCAACTGCTTTGCTTTTAATCCAGTTCCTTGCTAATGTGCCTGGGAAGGTGTAAGATGATATCCCAGTTGTTTGGGTCCCTGTTATACCCATGTGGGCAACCAGGTATGGAGTTCTAAGCTTCTGGCTTCAACCTCGTCCAGCCCCCAGCCATTGTGGCCATTAAAGGAATGAACCAGCGGACAAAAGATATCTTTTTGTCTGACTGTTCACTATTTCTCTCACTCTGCCTGTCAAATAAGTACAAATAAATCTTTTTAAAAAAATCATGTCTTGGAGCAAGTGTTGTGGCATAGCAGAATAAGCCACTGTTTGCAATGCCAGTGTCCCATTCGAGTTTGATCTGCCATGCTTCCCATCCAGCTCCCTGCTAATGAGTATGGGAAAGCAGCAGAGGATGTCCCAAGTACTTGGGCCCCTGCCACCAACATGGGAGACCCAGATGGAGTCCCAGGGTTCAGCCTGGCCCAGCTCTGGCTATGGCAGCCATTTGGGAAGTGAACCAGTGGGTGGAAGAGCTCCTCTCCTTTCTGTTTTCTCCCTCTCTCTCTCTTTCACTGCACCTTTCAAATAAATAAATGAAATCTTTGGGAAAAAATTTACTTCTTTATAACAGTCTTTCCCTTACTATTCTGGTTTTAAATGCACTTTTCTACTTCTCAACCAATATAGAAACTGCAGCAATCACATCTACCACTTGTTAGTAATAGGAGGTATCATTTGGTTGTCAGGAGCTACAATTGTAACAGTTGGTTTACAGTATCCAATTCCTACATCAAATCTATGACACAGGTGTATGTAAATGAAGAAACTGAGGCAATTGTTTATACAGCTAGTAAACAAGCCACAATTGTCACCCAGTTCATCCTACCATCACTAAAGTAACCAGAACACCATACTTAACTATTTTCCTTGGGTACATATTCTTGTGGTTGAAGACCATGTCAGTTATTTAATTGAAAATATTAGCATATCTGACATGATTTCTGATATTTTCCAAGTACTTTGAGCAAGTCAAAGTGTGTAGCAATTGCTGGATACATTTATTCAGCAGATGGAAGGCATATGTTTTAGACACTGGAATTATTTTTAAATAATTTAGACATTTTTGTGGTTTGTTCACACAGTAGATACTCAGAACTTACAGGTATTCCTTTTATTGTGCATAGGAAAAAATAGAAAGTGGTGTTTTGGGTAATGTGGCTTATAAGTAAATTATTGTACATTTTCTTTTCAGATTTGGATGGTGCTCTCCTCTCAGGGCCAGATGGTGATAGGAGTGTGAATGCAAATTTATTGGGTGAAGCTTGCTCTGGTCAAGATGGAGGTGATGCTGGTAGGTACAGTAAGATTTTAGCAAAAGTACCTTTAAGAGAAGTTGAAGATTGGGAAGTGTTTGTATACATGTTTAGTGGGGCCTACTGCAGTTGCGTTTTGGAGAGCGTATCATTTGTAAATACTTTGTAGTTGCTATATTTATGATGACTTAGGAAACTAGGTAAATAAAAATTGATAGATATTACTGGATTTGTTTGGAGGAGTCATTTAAGAGTTTTAAAAATATAAGTACCAAAGGTAGTTAGATTAATAAGGACTTAGGGCTTCCTCCTAGCATGTAGGTAGAATGAAAATGATAATTATCAGAATAGTTGACTAGTGTGCTTTAATTGGCTTTGAAGCAAAATGATAGTATTATTATTGATGGCTGTAGTGAATGTTGACTATTTTAGAATAATGCTTTCTTATTAGCTATACTTTAGGGGGAGAAGCTTGATGCATATAAAGACAAAATTCATATGGAATTATGAATAAAAAGGGGAGGAATAGTTCCTTTCAGAAGAAAAATAGAATTGGAAAAACATCTATTTTGTAACCCCCACAGGAAATAATTCAAGATCATCAGTGGATATTAAGCACTATTGATGGGCTTGTCCCACCATGATTGAATTGAAAAGTTGTTGGAGAGTAGCCTATTTGCATAGTCTCAAAGTATAACTAGCGAAACTTTATTATAAAATGGACTGAAATTAAGTGCCAGCTAATACCTTACATTAGATGGCACATAACATCTGTGTTAGTAGTATTATCCAGATCTTTAACCTGAATCTAATTGTGAGAAAAAAAAAAAATCAGACAAATCTGTAAATCCAGCTGTATGGTAGATGTTCCAGATTGAAGTGTTGATGTCATGAAAAGCAAGCAAGAAAACCACTAGGTTAGAGACAACCAGATGAAGCATGGATCTTAATTAAGTTAGGGTCCAAAAAATGATCGTGCAGGGCATTTGGGGGAGTAGTTACAAAGGTGTATAGGCAGAAGCAGAATTGTAATGTGGTTGTAGAAGATGCTCAAGTTTTCAAGTAGTCCATCACAAATATTTATGTGTGTAAAAAAAAAAAAAAGAATATGTGTCACAACATTCAAGAAAGATAAAGGAAATGTGGATTTTCATAGACTTTTTTCAGCTCCTATAGCATTGGAATTCTTTTCAAAGTTGATAGGATGGAAGGACACTGGAGACATTCCTTACCAATAGCAGCCAGGACTTTCTGAATATATTATTCACTGAGAAAAATTATGCCAGAGTTCCAAAAGAGTGGCTTTAGTGTGGTTTCTGTTGGCTATTGAAGCCATTAAAAATGTTTTGAAGTTGGCAATTTACAGGTCAAGTATGTTGAATTTTGAAGTTTTTTTACTTCTACAGAAAATTGCTAATAGTGCAAGAGTATTTTATTTGACTTGCTTTCTTGATTTAGCAATCTGATCCAAGAATGGTTTGAATGAAGCTATGTGAATTCCTAGGTAAAAAATCAAGTATTAAAATTTTAATTCTAATCATTGGATTATCAGTTCATAAGTTTTTAGTGATAGTTCATTTCCTTACTCTTACAATGGTATATACCAAATAATATAATACCAAATATACCAAATACTATTAAATATTGAAGATACTAGTACATCTAACGTGATTTTTGATGTTAGTTTTTCAGGTATTTTGGACAAGTCAAAAATACCAGGCATACAATGAGCATTTGCTTCAACAATTAAGTTGCAATTTGGGACAACTGCATCCATTCCAACTTCCTGTTAGTGTATACCCTGGGTTGTAGCAGATCATGGTTCAAATACTTTGATCCCTGCCACCCTCATTGGAGTCTTGGATTAAGTTCCAGGCTCCAGGCCTAGCCTGACCCAGCCTGTGGCTGGCATTTGGCAATGAACTAGCAGATGGAAAATCTCTGTCTTTCAAATACATAATTTGGAAATTTTTAAAAATATGTACCATGTACATGTTAGCATTGCTAGTTAGATTCAGTCAGCAAATAATTGGAATGTGTATGTTATAGACATTGGAGATACAAAGGAGAGAGTAAGACAGGGATTTGTTTGTCTGAAAGGCAGAGCTACAGAGAATGGGAGACAGATCCTTCATGCTGTGGTTTACTCTCCAAATGGCTACAGCAGCTGCAGCTGGGCTTTGCCAAAGTCAGGAGCCTGGAATTCCATCTGGATCTCCCATGTGGGTGGTAGGGGCCCAGTACTTGGGCTATCTGCTTCTTTCTCAGGTACATTAGCAGAGTTGCATCAGAAGTGGAACAGCCAGGACTCCCAACCAGTATTCCTGGGATGCTGACAGAGCAGGTAGCAGCTTAACTTGCTGTGCCATAATGCTGGCCCCTACACCAGTTAGTCTTAAAATGTGATAGTCTTGGGTGCAATATGGAGAATATCCCATTTGAATTTGAGCTTCTGCACGACAGAATCCTCTAAAGGGATAGAAGCAACTATTAAGAGTGCTGAGGGTCGGGCCGGCGCTGTGGATCACTTGGTTAATCCCATATGGGCACCAGGTTCTAGTCCCGGTTGCTTCTCTTCCAGTCCAGCTCTCTGCTGTGGCCCGGGAGGGCAGTGGAGGATGGCTCAAGTGCTTGGGCCCTGCACCCGCATGGGAGATCAGGAGGAAGCACCTGGCTCCTGGCTTCTGATCTGCGCGGTGGGCCGGCCGTAGCGGCCATTTGGGGGGTGAACCAACAGAAGGAAGACCTTTCTCTCTCTCTCTCACTGCCTAACTCTGTCAAAAAAAAAAAAAAAAAAAAACCTGGCGCCACAGCTCACTAGGCTAATCCTCCACCTGTGGCACCGGCACCCTGGGTTCTAGTCCATGGATGGGGCACCAGATTCTGTCCTGGTTGCTCCTCTTCCAGTCCAGCTCTCTGCTGTGGCCCAGGAAGGCAGTGGAGGATGGCTCAAGTGCTTGGGCCCTGCACCCGCATGGGAGATCAGGAGGAAGCACCTGGCTCCTGGCTTCTGATCTACGCAGTGCGCTGGCTGTAGCGGCCACTTGGGGAGTGAACCAACGGAAAGGAAGACCTTTCTCTCTGTCTTTCTCACTGTCTAACTCTGCCTCTCAAAAAAAATTTCAATTAAAAAAAAATAATAATAATTAAAAAAGAGTGCTGGGGCTGGTGCTGTGGCATAGCAGGTAAAGCTGCTGCCTGCAGTGCCAGCATCCCGTATAGCCACCAGTTCCAGACCCAGCTGCTCCACTTCTGATCCAGCTCTCTGTTATGGCCTGGGAAAGCAGTAGAAGATGGCCCAAGTCCTTGGGCCCCTGCACCCATGTGGGAGACCCGGAAGAAGCTCCTGGCTCCTGGCTTCAGATTGGCACAGCTTCCGGCCATTGCGGCCAGTTGGGGAGTGAACCAGCAGATGGAAGACCCCTCTCTCTCTTTCTCTCTCTCTGTGCCTTTCCTTCTCTCTCTGTGTAACTCTGACTTTCAAATACATAATAATATCTTTAAAAGAAAAAATAGTGCTGTCTTGAATATGTTGCGAATTGTCACATTTTAAGAGTTTGTTTATTTTGACCTCCACAATTAAATAATCATGAAAGGCAGAGTGACACAGAGAGGGAGAGATAGAGACCTTCCATCTGCTGGTTCACTTCCGAAAGGCCTGCAGTAGTCAGGATTGAGCAGGTCAAAGCCAGAAGCCTTGAACCCCATCTGCCTCTTCCATATGGGTTTCAGGGGCCCCAGCACTTGAACCATCATTTGCTGCCTCCCAGGGTGCATTAGCAAGAAGCTGGGTTGGAAGCAGAGTAGCTAGGACTTCAACCAGCACTCCAGTATGGGATGTGAGTGTCCCAAATTGGCAGTTGAACTGATGCTCCACAACACTCACTGCTATCATATTGGTTTCTTAACTGAATTTTTTTTCCTATGGTAGAATCATTCTTTAAACTTCTTTAATTGTGATAATAAAGTATGGAGACACCTCAGTTATAGATTAGAATGTAGCGTTTTTATTTAGTTAGAACGTTCCGATATAATGCTTAGAGGATATACATGTGTATTTTCTGACTTTATTACTGTCATTACTTTAAAAAATCATTTTTTTATTGCATTAGGTACTTCACATGACTTCAAGTATGGTTTGATGCCTGGTCCCTCAAATGATTTCAAATATGGATTGATACCAGGTACTTCAAATGATTTCAAGTATGGATTGATACCAGGTGCTGCAAACGATTTCAAATATGGATTATTGCCAGAATCTTGGCCAAAACAAGAAACTTGGGAAAATGGCAAGTATTAGTCAACTAAACAAAAGCAGAATTCTTAAATAATTTTAACAACTAAAAGATTACATATTTCAGAGATTAATGGTAACCCTAAATCAATTGCTAGTCTCAGATATAGATGTTTACAGTAGCAAATTTTTCTAAAGTATAATAAATGCTTTTTGTATTTTTTTCTGTAATTCTCAAAGGTGAATCATCTCTAATCATGAACAAGTTAAAATGCCCTCATTGTAGCTATGTAGCCAAATACAGACGAACACTAAAAAGGCACTTGCTCATTCATACGGGAGTGAGATCATTTAGCTGTGATATTTGTGGAAAGCTGTTTACTCGAAGAGAGCATGTAAAAAGACATTCCCTGGTAAGTAACTTTAAATACAATCTGAGCTTTGAGGTAATGTATGTCAATGAAGTTTAAAAGGCATTTTAGCAGTTACTTACAAATTTAAGGAAGGTTGATTCTTAAATCTCTTTAAACCAAGAATGTATTTTATGAACTGATAACGAGTTTTCAGAAAAACAGCAGTAAATTCATTATTAAATGTCTTGTTGGAGTAATTGAGATGCATTCTGTTATCTATACCATTCTTATTGGATTCTCCCCTCTTCATTTAGGTGCATAAAAAGGATAAAAAGTACAAATGTATGGTGTGTAAGAAGATCTTCATGTTAGCAGCCAGTGTTGGAATAAGACATGGTTCTCGGCGCTATGGTGTTTGTGTAGACTGTGCAGATAAATCACAACCAGGAGGGCAAGAAGGTGTAGATCAGGGACAGGATACAGAATTCCCTCGGGATGAAGAATATGAAGAGAACGAAGTAGGAGAAGCTGATGAAGAGTTGGGTGATGATGGCGAAGATCAGAATGATCCGTCTCGATGGGATGAATCAGGAGATGTTTGTATGTCTCTAGATGATTAACTGACCTACTATACTCCTCAAGGATGCTGCATTTGGACATAATATGAATCGACAATTTGGATTGTTGAACTTGAAGGCTTGCAAAATATGGTACATGCTGGATGAGGTAGTTACATTGCTGTGAAAACTGTAGGGTCAAAGCCTTATAGCAAAAAAAAAAAAACCTTTTTTTTTTTTTTTTTTTTAAATATTTGCACAGGACTGTACAGCAGACAACCATGTGGTTGGATTACATGGAGTCCCCACATATTCAGTCAGTTATCAAAATAAAATATTTTTTATTTATAGGATATACAGTAGCTATTTGGGTCCTTTGAAAATATTACCTGTCCTTATAGAGCTTACATTCATGTGCTACTTCAACATGAATGCAGAAAATCCATTTAGGAAGTACAGTGACAGTGACCCAATCAGTCTGTCCATCAAACCACTCAGGCTAGTTTGTACTAGTAGAGTTTTGTTTCTATTTTTATTTTTATTAATTTTATTTTTTTTAATACAGATTTTCAGTGAGGGGCTTTTTCAACCCCGTTGGTTCTATTTTCTTGTACTTTACATTTTAATTTGCTCCATAACTTAAACCAAGTCTCTTCTTCGGTATTATTTCTCAATTTTGTGCTGATGGGCATGTTTATAAGAACTGGAGAGGTAATTTATTGGAATGAACTAACTGACTTCCCCCATCCCCTTTTTCCTTTTTGACATGAATTTTACTACTTCACAAATGAAGAGAATGATGTTGCGAAGTTACCTTGGCGAAGCTGACAAATACCACTAAAATGATTATGATTTAGAAATACCTTTCTCCTGCTGCTCTAATCTGATAAATGGTTACTACATGACGTTTTCTGCCATGATATTTGGTTTTGGGTATCTGTTACTTTGGCACTATTCTTGTTTGCCTCTTTATTTTTGCCAGTGTACTATACCTCAGACTTATTGCAAAGACAGAAATCTAATTGAAAGAAAAGTCATAGAAATAATAAGTAAAATGATTTGTTTTGTAATTTATCCTCCATGTCCAGTTTGGTTAGCTTGTTATGCAATATAAGTGAAATATCAGGTTTTTATTCCTGTGCCCTTTTTATCATTAAAATTAACACAAAACGTGCATTCTCTTGTTTCATATTTACCGGGATATTCAGTGTTTCAAAATTATGATTGATAAAGTTAATTTATTTTTCTATTCCTTAAAGTCAATGTCATCTTTATAGTTTTGTTTTCGCCATGAATCAGCAGTCTACAATAATATTAAAATAGCAAGAGGCTTTATTCTATTAACTAAATTCAGGGTACAAAGAGTGATGCATTAAATTGAATTTGTTAGAGATTTATTAGCCTGGTGGCAAATGAATTAGCCGATCCACGGAACTCTCAGCAACATTTCATGTATTAATGTGCACAACATTTATCAGGAGCATATTATATACATTTTAAGATTGAGGAACATCATATTTTCAGTTTTCTTTTAAATAAAAATGGAATATATTTTCCTATTTTATATCAGGTAACTAAATTATACTAGTTGTGTGGGAAAAATTGCAAAGATGCTTTGACAGATACAATCCTTTTTGGTGCTCCATCTGATCAAAGTTGAAAAGTTGATGCTTTTTAAGAGACAGGCTTTATCATTGTCTCAGATTTCAGTAGAAATGGCTTAATGTTAGACAATGATGTTTCTGCTTGGATAGATTATCAAAGATAATTTACAGTTTCATGGTTAGATGCAGTTTTTTGACATCTGAACTTTCTTGTAGTTTCTACATAACTGTAAACCTGACAGATAAGTAGTTTTGGTTTGACTTTTGTTTAAAACTAAGAGTTCATCTTATTCTCAGTGTTCTAGACAAATAAGTAAAATGTAATTCTGGTGAGGTCCAAAGTAGAAATTAGTTGGGCAAAAGATACTATGAATGAAAAAGTATTTTAAACGTAAAATGTTCTGCTTTGTGAATATGTAAGTATAGCATAAAGATTTCTTTCATCCCATTTATCCCCTTCCTTTAAAATAAACCATAGTTTACAATTGGTAGATCTGTCTATATATAAATATATATTAAAGAGCAAAGATATATATCTAAAAAAATCACCTAAATCTGCTTTATTAGGCTATAGTTCACTTATTGCATAGAAACTGGACTTGGCTTTACATTCTTAATGTACTTTTACTTTTCCTGAAGATATGAATTTATTCTCTTGAAACTGAATTTTCTTTTATGACTTAAATCATTTATGTATATCTGGTAAATTATGACCAAATTTTTGTTAGAGTTTGCATACAGTAAATTGAAATACACACTTGGTACACTACGGGATTGTTGTGCTTTTGTTTTGGCTTTAGTTGGAAGCAAGGTTTGATGTAGATGGCTTGTTACTGTTAATTTAAAGTATTCTATAATTGTCCATTACCTTTAATGTTGTGTTGTGACAGATTTGGCTATATTTTTAGTCAACTGAAATATGCTACTTTAAAAGTTTGTTTTTAGGTAATCCAAAGGAAAAATGTTTATACTCTTGAATATATTAGCCTCAGCCTATATAAAAATTTCTTTGAAGTAAACATTTTACCAGAAACAGAATCGACAGATTTTTCTACTTGCTGACTGCCTAACTTATTTTGTTTCATGATCTCAAGGGACTGCCTTTTCCCTTCTAGATCTTTTGTAAAAAATAGTTTTAGTACTAAGGTATACTACTGGACGTTTCTATTTTTTTAAGTATATTCTTTTTCTGACTTAACAGTACAACAATTTCAGGAAGTTGATAGATAACTAAGACTTATGATTGGTCTCAGAGATAACAATGGAATACTCATAATTTTGTCTGGGACTCTGGTGAAATTATGTGTAAAACAGTTGGTGAAATTTCCTCCTGTAATTTATATTTTAAATGAAAATATTTTAGAGCTTTTAATTTTAATGATGGGGAAGAGTATAAACTGTTTCTTTCATATTTACTCTAGTAACAGACCCTCTCATAAGTCTCATAAGATCATGTACTATTAGGATTCTCAGACAGTTACTTCCATGTGGTCCCCTCATTGTCATAGTTCTTGGTCCTCATTTTCCTTATTTATTAGATGTTATGCTAAATTTAGCACCTTATCAATTAGAGTTTATGAAACATTACAGGAAGGGGAAACTGGACAGTAGCATGTAGCTTTCAAATTTGGGGGGAAAAAAAACCTTAGCTGGTTTAAGTAGAACCATCCTGATGGAGTGAGCCAAATGAGTTAATTCAAAAACATGGTTAGAACGCTGGTGCTTGTTAGATGTATAATACATCTGAGTTGTTCAGTGGACATGAACCAAGAGGAAATGAAAAAGGAGAGCAGAAATGAGGGTGGAAATAGAAAATGAAAGGATCAGGACTTACAAATGTACATTGAAACAATATAAAAAGCCTGAAGATGACTGGAGTAGTGTAATATGGGGGAAAGTGTTGAAAAATAGGTTTTTAAATGACTTAAAATATAAAACTTAAATAAGCTTTATTTATATTTTTAGAGTTTTTCTGAATACAGCATGGAGGGTTTAGATTCATTTTTCTGAATATGATCCCCAAAGCTAATTTTTTGAGTGCCACATTTGCCATTGTGCAATTTATATTATTTAATCCCTTACAAGGTAGGTGCTATTATCTCTATTTTATAGAAGAAAGGCTCAGAGAACTTCAGAAACTTGCCTAATTTAAAGCAGCTATGATACAGAGCTGGGACTTGACCAGATCTGATTCTGAAGCCCATGCTCTTTCTAGGTAGCTGTAATGCTGCCTCATTGAACAACTTTTTTGTAGAATTTCAGCTCTTTACAGGAGTCTCTCTATGGAGATTTGTATTTTCCCTATGTAACAGCTATGTTAGGAATTCTGTGTCGTCTTCCCCCTACCACCCAATACCCTTGCAACTCTATCCTGATAAAACAGTTTGTTTTGTCACTTTGATCATAAGACACACGACCTCAGTGTAGCACATGCTGTTAATGGGCTGTGGCATTTTCATTTTTAAAAGGATGGTTTTTATCTGAATAACTAGCTATAAGCCCCAGTTTTTGTGCTGTTCAGTCACCCAGATCCTTAAACTTAACTATGGTACATAATATACTCACTTAAACTAACCACCAAGGTGTTTTCTTAGTTACTTTAGGATTTTAATTTAAAGTTTTTTCTTTTTTTTTTTTTTCCTCTGCTGTATCCCTGCTTTTAAGTGAAGTTGAATGATTCTAGGTAGTTTAAAATGTTTTAGGGATAAGCACACTTTAAAAAATGTTTTTCTAGCCCTGAATTCTATGACATTGGGTACTTCACACTTGGAGTACACTTGGTATTGAGAACAAAATTGTGGATTGAGAAGGAGAGGGGTGGTTGAGGCCATTATGAAATGGGAGAATCAGCATTTTAAACACTGTAAACATTAAAACACTTTTCTTCTGCCTGCTGTTTGTAAAAGCTCTTTGGGAAGATCTTTTACGAAGACCAATTTTTTTTAATGTAATTTACCTACCTAATATTAAGTGTCCTAAGACATGTATGTAAACTTCCAAAACTGTTTTGTCTGTGTATTTAGAAAATACACAAGAATCTTTATCAAACCTAAAAATATAAACTTGTGAGCACTAAACTGCTTCTGGCTTTGTGAATTTTATTGACTCTGACATTTAATTCAGATTTCTTTGCGAGTATAATTTTTGGCAGTTGGGATGGGGGGAATATCTTTGTAAACTTTGACTTAATGTAAAATTCAGATATCACAGTGCTTTAGATTTCCAAGTTTGAATTGTAGAATATTGTGGGGTCTTTTTGTTTCTTTGTATAAAAATGTGTGCATAAATGACTCAGACTACCTCCTGCACTCCCTGGAGAGCTGCTTGAAGTAAGAGCAGTGATTTATAATCAATATCTACAGGTTTTAGAAAGCATTTTTCAAAACCTATATTTACACTTGTGCATAGTCTTGGAGAAATGGGTGAAAGACACAGATAAACTGATTTGTCCCGTTTTTAATGTACATTGGACATAGATTACAAACAATTAGTAATAGAAATTTTAAGTCTCTGAAACTTACTAATATAGAGAAAACAACAAGTAGTTTTTTAGGTTTTTTTTTTAAGTTCAGAATAGAATAAAGGAAATCATAAAACAGCCAGATACTCATTTTTGCTAATAAAATGTGGTTTACTTTGAAGAAGGGCTAAGGGGAACCCACACAGAATATAATGCCTTATCTCTTTAAACATGTAAAGAACTGTCATGGCACAATTAAGGTATGTTTCATGTATAATAGAATGGCAATAATTGGGAATAATCAAGTTCAAAAATGTTTTAGTTATTCAAAGATGAAATGGGGTTGCTTCAAAGAAAAGGCAGTCTACCACTGGAGATGTTATAGAGTACGAGAGAGAAATGGACAACCACTTTGACTAAAGTTTGACAATAAGAATTCTAATCTTCCAAATATAACTAGGTATGTATTAGAATTTTAGTGAAAGGTATACAAGACTGTCTGCTCAGCAAATGTTCTAGCAGCTCATGAGAGAACAATACATAAAATCGTTTCAAAGTAATTCTGTAATTGCCTAGATTGAAAGACACCTTCAGAGATTTATCTAGTGAACAATAATAATCTAGGAAAGTTACAGCATTAACTTTTCAATTTCAGTGTCCAGGAATCTTAAGCTTCCATTTTCATATTTTTCCTGCCTCAAGACTCAATAAATACATACTTTCCTCTAAAGTTTGAAACTAGCAGACTCCAAAGTGCACTCAAATACAGTGTTTGACATGCTATCTATGCCGAAAAGCATTTAGTGAGCAAATGACAAAACTTTTTCCTGTTATGTGGTAGCTATCAAGCCAGTTTCATCCAGAGTGTTTTCTATTGCCAAGCATGTAGTACATGAGGGTCACATGGAGCCTTTGAGGACTCTTTCAAGCTTTATTTGAAAGGCAGAAATACAGAGAGACTAAGAACTTTCACTTGCTGGTTCACTTCCCAAATGGCTGCAACAGTTGGAGCTGGGTCGAACCAGAGCCAGGAGCTTCTTCCAGGTCTCCCACGTGAGTGTAGGGGCCTTCCAGTCCACTGTTTTCCAGATGCATTAACCGAGCTGGAGGGTCAGTTTTATGGCATAGCAGGTAAAGCCGCTGCCTGCAGTGCCAACATCACATATGGGCCCAAGCACTCAGGCCATAACAGAGCGCTGGATTGGAAATGGAGCCTGCGACTTGAACCACTGCCCATATGGGATGCCAGCACTGCAGGCAGAGGCTTAACCTTCTATACCACATCACTGGCCCGGCGAGCATCATTAAAAAAGAAAAAAAAATTCTGCAGCAAATGACTGATCTTTCTCACCAGGTCTTATGAGTCACGGAAATCGCTTTGCAGGGGGAAGTGGTGACCCAAAAGACTACTAGTATCGAGTTCTCTACAGGAGTATTTGTTAAAGGTAGGACTGGACATCACATGCATGGTCATCTCTGAGTAGGCAGTGTGAGAAAGATCCCAGGGGCTGGTGCTGTGTTCCATCTACAGTGTCCATGTCCCATGTGGGGCTGGTTTTGAGTCCCAGCTGTTCCACTTCCCTCCCAGTTCCATTTTTTTTAATGATAAATACTTTTTAAAAAAAAAGGGAAAACTATAAAGATTTATTTGTTTGAAAGGCAGAGTTAGAGAGGCAGAGGCAGAGGCAGAGAGGGTTTTCTATCGACTAGTTCACTCCTCAGATGGCCACAACGGCCGGAACTCTGCCAATCAGAAGCCAGGAGCTGCTTCTGGGTCTCCCATGGGGGTGCAGGGGCCCAAGGGCTTGGGCCATCTTTCACTGCTTTCCCAGGCCATAGCATGGATTGGAAGTGGAGCAGCCCAGCCGGGACTCGAACTGGTGCCCATCCTAATAATACTGATTCCTGGGGCAGGCATTTGGCCCAGTGGTTGAGTCTCAACTTGGGACGCCCACATTCCGTATGGGTCTGCCTCGTCTGAGGCCTGGCTACTCTGCTTCCGTGATCCAGCTTCCTCTGATGTCCATCTTGGGAGGCAGCAGGTGATGACTCACGTACTTGGGGGCTGGCACTGTGGCGCAGTGGATTAAAGCCCTGGCCTGAAGCACCAGCATCCCATGTGGGCGCCGGTTCTAGTCCCGGCTGCTTCACTTCCAATCCAGCTCTCTGCTATGGTCTGGGATAGCAGTAGAAGATGGCCCAAGTCCTTGGACCCTGAACCCACGTGGGAGACCCAGAAGACGCTCCTGGCTCCTGGCTTTGGGTTGGCGCAGCTCCAGCCGTTGCGGCCAACTGGGGAGAGAACCAACAGATGGAAGACCTCTCTACCTCTCTCTGTAACTCTGTCTTTCAAATAAATAAATAAATAAAATAAATCTTTAAAAAAAATGCTAATAGAAAATAGTGCAGTTTAAGCTAAGATAATGCATGCACACAGCACTGAAGTTTCCTTCAACATAGGAAAAGGAGAAAGAAGACTCCACCTTCAAAATGTGTCTTATTAAAGCCTTCTGGGGAAAAGGAGGGTTGCCCATTAATTATGGCCTGGACAGGAGTACGAAATTATTAATATTAGTTTTTTTCCTGGAAGAGGATTCCTTTGTTTTCTAGGTACCTGCAGTTTGTCAGGTATTTTCAACCAGTCTGGAGGAGCAAATCTCTTAGGCTCAATAAGTACTCAGGGAAGCTACTCCATTATAGAGCCCTCCTACTATTTGAGGGGCCTACATGATGAAGTGGCTTTGACCTAATCCAGTAAAGCAAGCAGTTCGTGAACAGTGTAGGCACCAAAGGTTCATGCTTATGCCACGTGTTTTTTGCCTTTAAAGATTTATTTATTTGAAAGGCAGAGTTACAGAGAGAGAGGTAGACACAGAAGGAGTGAGCTTCCGTCCGCTGGTTCACTCCCTAAATGCTCTAACGGCCAGAGCTGAGCTGTTCCGGGGCCAGGAGCAGGAGCTTCTGGTATCCCATGTGTGTGCAGGGCCCAAGCACTTGGGCCATCCTCTGCTGCTTTTCCAGGAGCATTAGCAGGGAGCTGGATCAGAAGTGGAGCAGCCAGGACTTGAACTGGCGCCCATATGGCATGCCAGTGCTGCAAGCCGGGGATTTAACCCACTGTGCCACAGCACCGCCCCACCCCCACCCCCTTTTTTTGGTGTGAGTGTGGAAAAAGCATCACCTTAAGATGAAACCACAAGCTCTGTTTTCAGATTTTTCTCCAGGAAAGTGAAGTATCTATTCGATTTTGGTGTGTGCTTTTAAAAAAATTTTTTTTTGTAATTTATTTATCTGGGAGACAGCAAGAGCTCCCATCTCTGGTTCCTTCCCCTAGATGCCTTCAATGGATAGGATTGGGCCATGCCAAAAATGGAAGCCATGAGCTCAGGGCAGGAGGGGGAGAGTGGCCCAATCACTTGTGCCATCATCTTTTGCCTCCACATGACCAAGCAGTGAGTGAGGAGCCAGAGCCAGAGCCAGCTGTTACCCAGGTACTTCGATATGGAAAGTATATGTCTTAACTGCATCAGATGTGCACCTTTTTTTTTTTTTTTAATAAAGGATAACATTTATAGCCTGGGGGCCGGTGGTGTGGCGCATCAGGTTAATGCCCTGGCCTGCAGTGCCGGCATCCCATATGGGCGCCAGTTCGAGACCCAGCTGCTCCACTTCTGATCCAGCTCTCTGTTATGGCCTGGTAAAGCAGTAGAAGATGGCCCAAGTCCTTGGGCCCCTGCACCCGTGTGGGAGACCCGGAAGAAGCTCCTGGCTCCTGGCTTCAGATCAGCACAGCTCTGGCCGTTGCAGCCATCTAGGGAGTGAACCAACAGATGGAAGACCACTCTCTCTCTCTCTCCCTCCTCTCTCTCTCTCTCCTCTCTGCCTCTCCTCTCTCTGTGTAACTCTGACTTTCAAATAAATAAATCTTTTAAAAAAAAAAAAAAACATTTATAGCCTGAAAACTAATCTCAATATCAATGTTCAAAATTCCACTTGTCTCATTCATTGTTGTGGGTATGGGGGATATTTTGCTTTTTAGTCAGGATTCTGATGTAGGAAGGAAGCAGCAAGCTTGTATAAAAGGCCAGATAATCCTTTTTGTGGTCCAGAAGGTCTCCACCCCATCTACTCAACCCTGCGGATATTACACCAAAGTAGCCATGGATGATAGGGCTGCGTTCTGATATTGATTTACAAAATCGGGCAGCAAGCCACAGTTTGCTGCCTCTGTCCCCTAACCTTCATCCATGTAATCCATACATTGAAAAATGATGTGTCTTCTTAATGGATTCAGATCTGGAATAGCCAAGAGACTGACCTTGGTGGCAGCATTTTAGTTGAGAAAGATAATCTTACCATCTCAGCTCTTACGGCAGTAAAACCTTACTAGCACCTGGATCGAGTTCTCGGGTTCCACCTTCTGCACATCCTAGCCATTGCCAGCATGTGGGGAGTGAATCCATGGGCGGGAGTTGTGCTCTGTCTCCCAGTGCCGAAGGTGTCTTCCCCGTTCTGATACCCTGCTTCCTACATGAGAAATCAATTTTAAAAATATACTCAGGATCTTTCTAATTGAAACCTTTTTATTGCATACTACCCTGTTAAAAGATTCTTTTA